CGTATCGTTGTTGACGTCACGTCAAGCTGATGACGTCAGCACCATGACCCATCAGCTAGAGAAGTCGTTGGTGTGAGTGTATGTTGGTGATGATGGTGCACATCCTTGTGTATGTTTGTTTGTGTGTCTGTGTGAGTTGAAAGACTGCTATTGTTTATTCGTTGACAACGAATTTTTAGCACAACATCCGCTTATATCTGTGTACGTACATTGTCTTCGTTGCACTTCTTGATAAAATTTTCTTTTCTGTTCATTTAGCCCACAAGTTGTCATCTCGACTGTGGTAACCCCTAAATTCTAGACCTTAAGCCGATCATGGCGTCTGGGTCACGAGAAATTATGGGATACATCAACTAACGAAACCTGAATATCCTGTTGTAAGGAGAACTTGATTCCTCATCTATCCTGCTTGTTTCTCCGTCATATCCTTGCAGCCTGGCAGACACATTAGGGATGTCTCTAGCTGATAGTTTTATAATATTTTTTTCCATGATGGATTTGAAATAATAGATGTGATAGGTATTTTTACTAGCTCCTTCTCTTTTCCTGATTCTGCTTTTTGTTCTCGTTCTTGTTGTTGTTGTTTTTTTTTTTTTTTTCTTCTTCTTCTTCTTCTTCTTCTTCTTCTTCTTCTTCTTCTTCTTCTTCTTCTTTTTCTTTTTCTTCTTCTTCTTTTTCTTCTTCTTCTTCAATTCTTCCTTCTTTCATCATCGCCCTCTTCCTTTTGTTCTTCTTGTTTTGAATTAGAAGTGGGGCAACCAGTAACAGACGACCACAGTTTTACGTACTGTTTGCTGTTGTAAAGGGAAAGAATTTCTTCTGTTTAATCTAAAAGGGTCCGCCTGTGTTTAGCCCTGTCAGAGAAGACTGAATATTACGCTAAGCTGCCCACCTGCTGGTCGTCAAGCATGAGCATCATCAGTTCTCTTATCTACAGTTTATATCTATATAAACATATATCTTATCTATATCTGCATTTGTCCATTCTGCCGAGTTCTCAGCGAGCAACAACACGATATGTTACCCAAATGACATAAGGCTTCCTTTTCCATGTGTCGGGGATTCTGTGCACTATGTGGTTTTCATTTCCAAACCATAGTTATTTTGTTCATTATCTGGTCCAGTCTCCTTACACTTGTGCAGTTTTATACATTATTTATGTTCTTCCTCCACAAGTGTGTAATCTTTGTTGTTTGGTTTCGCCTCCACACATTCTTGCCAGAGGATTGACTTATCCAGCCACTCCCGCACCCAACCCTCCCGCCCCTCCCCCCCCCCCACCACGGTTACTACATGTGTTTACCAGATTGCGGGGGAGGGGAGGGGGGGGGGGGGTAATCATTCAGCCAGGAAATTTTGGCCTGCAGGGCTAGTGCTGTTGTCACGAACTGTGCCGGTTTTGTTGTTGCCATGAACACACACACACACACACACACACACACACACACACACATACACAAACACAAACACTCAATAAATCAATCTCATCGGGGAAATGAACCTCGGCCTCGCATATGAGAGTAAGCTTCTCGTATCAGATCGGTGAGCAGCCCCCCCCCCTCCCACACACACACACACGTGCACGCACACACGCAACCTTATCGAGGGTTCAACCTCGGCCTCGCGTATGAGAGCCAAGCGTACGTAACAGATTTGTGAGCACCCTACCCCCCCCCCCACACAAACACACATACACAAATACGCCATCATCATCACCATCATTTCACGTAGTAGTTGGTCGACAGATGAACCTCATTACTCATTGAGCCACTAAGTCCACAAGTGCTCGGATCCAAGTGCCTGGGGATAGGAGGGGGCTGGGTTGGACTTAAAGACAAGCTGTGAGAGGCGGAAGTGAATAAACAATGTTAATATGTAAATGATGTGTAAATGAATTCCTTTACAATCCTCTACGTAGCAATATGTGCTCTCATACTTTTAACATTTGATCAGTAAATAGAAAAGGAGGGGGGGGGGCGGTGGCTTACCCCAGTGGTTACTGCAACTATGTGAACTGTCACTGTGAAAATAAAGCATTCACAATTTTGAATCATAATTATTTCTTTACCTTTGTATCTTCTGTGAAACTTTATCGTAGTGAAAGAGTTAATAAAAAAATCTTCTAATGATAAAAGTTGTTCTTTTAAATAGGCGTTTAAGCAATATAAATGTGACCTGGTGCCCCTTGGACGAGACATTTATAAAGGCCCACCGTCTGTGTGTGTTCTTCAAGGAGTTAAAATGTTGATAGACACGACAGGCTGAAATATCGGGGAATCACAGTTGACCAGAGCCAGTCAGATAAATAGCACCTTGATGACACTAAACCGTGAGACACGAGGGGAATGGCAGCTTCTCACACGGAGAGCGGATCGATATTGCCCCAATACCATCATCTGTCTCGTATTGAGTTCTGTCTGGGGGGTACTCACGCAATCGACAACAATGCGAATGGCTGGAGAGTATTTAAAACGAAAGACTTGTGAATAATCTGGCTGACGCTAGATATACCCAAGTCAATACACCGAGGTTCTAGAGATAGGGTGGGCACACTATGGCCCAGGAGCCAAAGCTGGTCCCACGAACAGTTTTTACTGGCCCGCCAGGCTAGTGTAAAATTACTATATAATCTAGTCCCCCCCCCCCGCCCCCAACCCTGACACACACCCACCCACACAACCACCCACACAATACCCCCCCCCCCCCAAACACACACACACGTGATCGCATAATTTCTGAAAATGAGCTTGAACAGAAACTTATCAATATGTAGGAGGGCTTCAATGAGTGATTCTGTATGGAAGGGGGCGTAGCCAGGGATTATGATCTTAGATTATCTCACAGAAATGTCGTTGTACAGGCAATCTGGTTATCTTCATAGAGGTCCTTCAAGGCCCACGGATATTACAGAGTAACTGAGCAAAGTTAGAAATCATTGCAACTAATGGATATCTCTTGGGGATGGGGAGGGAGGGAGGGACAGGGGTAATATACGGTGGAGGGGGTGGACAAGTATTAATTAGCACAGTGATGTGAGAAATGAGAACATGCTTCACAGCTGCATGAAGAGGCAAGATTGTCACAGATGAAAGAAGCACACACACACACACACACACACGCACACACACACTGTGGTGGAAGCGTAGATGATCACTGTTACTTTGATAATCCATCCATTTTAAAAAAGGTTGTTGCGTATCCTCTAGAGGACGTTGCAGAACCAACCCTAACAGCCCCTGGCTGTTGTTTCCATCCATTTATATGAAACAAAAATCAACCACGTGGAAAACTACTGCCAGTAGTTTCGGTTATAAGTATGACCTGTTTTTTGTTTGACATTTATGTTGGCTAAAAGTATTAATTGCACCAAAACTTGTGGCTTGGACCGGTACTCTAGTACCTAGTGAGGGCTGTTGTAGACAGGGCTTGTAGATCCTCTTCACTATCTCTGTTGTCACTTCGGGAGTAGGAGGGAACTCTGGGATTCTGGATGTCGCTCTTCTGACAAGCCTTGGCCGCAGACATTTGATACTGTTGTAGATTGTCTCTGTTAACGTCTATCTTGTTCTTGGTCTACCTTGGCATCTTCGCCTTTCTACTCTTGCCTGATATAGAATCACAAAGCATTGTCTGGGGAAGCTTTGTGATTTATGTTTGATGTCCTTGCAATAAAGCATTTGCAATGATAAGCCAGTTATATAAGCTACCTTGTAAAGTAAAGATCCTTTTTCACGCCATTATGCGTATCGGGTATATGGGAAGAGCACCCATATTTTTACATACCCTCGGCACTAGGTGGGTAATGTGGTCAGCATTACGCCGGCCGTCTATACTTCCCCAGGACAGCCATCCTGGTACCCATTTTAGGCTGGGTTGACCTGCGACGCCCCATACAATGATAAAAATCTTCACAGCCAGCAGTGGATCGCGGTACGTTGGAATTACCAGTCGGACTGGCAACGCCTAAGCCACGGCCACTGAAACTACCTTGGCTGCCAATGAATCTATACGCTCATTACCTCCAACACCTGCATGATTCGGCACAAAGTTGAAGGTTAGTCGAGTTATTCCTGATGCATATTTTGGATAGTGGGGTTTGAGGTCGCTGTTTGTTTCCTTGCAAAAATGTCGAGAGTGTCGCGCTGTTAATCTTAGACTTTCGTGGTCATAGGTATTGTGTAAAGTTGGTCCTAGTCTTCCATGGTCATAGGTATTGTGTAAAGTTGATCTTAGTCTTCCGTGGTCATAGGTATTGTGTAAAGTTGGTCCTAGTCTTCCGTGGTCATAGGTATTGTGTAAAGTTGATCTTAGTCTTCCATGGTCATAGGTATTGTGTAAAGTTGATCTTAGTCTTCCGTGGTCATAGGTATTGTGTAAAGTTGGTCCTAGTCTTCCGTGGTCATAGGTATTGTGTAAAGTTGGTCCTAGTCTTCCGTGGTCATAGGTATTGTGTAAAGTTGATCTTAGTCTTCCGTGGTCATAGGTATTGTGTAAAGTTGGTCCTAGTCTTCCGTGGTCATAGGTATTGTGTAAAGTTGATCTTAGTCTTCCGTGGTCGAATGTATTGTGTAAAGTTGATCTTAGACTTTCGTGGTCATAGGTATTGTGTAAAGTTGATCTTAGACTTTCGTGGTCATAGGTATTGTGTAAAGTTGATCTTAGACTTTCGTGGTCATAGGTATTGTGTAAAGTCAGCCTGGGCGGTCGAATAGTTGCTCTCAGAAGAAAGACGAAGCCACAATGTATGAAACCACATATAGAGAAGTATATTTCTTTGCTTCTAAACACAGTTTCTCTTCCCACCCCCACTCCCACTTCCTCCCCCCCCCCCCCCCCCCCCTTCCCCCAAAGAACGTACCCTCCCTCTCCCCCGTAAATATAGAAACTTTATTATCTGGTTGTTAATTTTTTTTTTTTTTTTAACTGTGCTCTTTTTCTTTTGTTCACAGCCATTCCTCCTGGGGAAAATCTCTGACAAACTGGCTTCCAAGCTGAAGGGGATGATCTTTGCTGACCGCTCATCGGTGAGGTCATGCAGGACACCCACCAGAGATGAATCTCAGACTGGACTGATCTCAGATGTGGCTGGTCCAAGCAACGACACTGCATGGGAAACGGACACAAAAACAGAACCACAGAATAAGCCCCGCCTCCACTGGGAGGAGGGGCTTGAAGATCAGCAGGTACCAACCAATCAAACAGAACATGTACACGTGTGGGACGACACAATGTGTGGGGCATCAAATAATGAACCACCCAAACACTTTGTTCGTTCTCAAAGCACGCCTATCAGAAAGACAAAAGCAACTGATGACGCGCCAGAAGACATGCGTGTATTGCTCAATGTAGGTGGAGTTAGGCATGAAACGCATGTCAGTACGCTGAAGAACGTTCCAGACTCCAGACTTTCCAGACTTGCTGATGTACACATATCTAGTGGGCGTGGAAAACAGGAGTACTTTTTTGACAGACACCCAGCAGTATTCAACTCAATCATTGATTTTTATAGAACAGGTGAGTGTTTTTGTATTATATTCATATTTTGAAATGATACAGGACTTTGTGGTTCTTTTCTGTTAAGTCAACACATCACGCGAGATTTAGGAACATTCCATAGTATGGGGGGGGGGGGGGGGTAAGGTTAGGGTTAGTAGTAGTGGTTATTCATTTAACACTAGCCCTAACCCTAACCGCCTTATACTATAGGATCTCTTTAAATTGCACGTGATGTGGTAACTTAACAGAAAAGAACCGACTTTATTGGAGTACTAACTCTTCTTGAAGAAGACAGACTTGGTTTCAGTACTAATACATAATTACTGAGATGCTGGAATTCCCATCCTTCCAACTTACTGCCTTGTATTTAATAGGCTCCCGAAAAACTTTAGTTGGAATCCTCGACGAGGCGAATTTGTACACCATTATTTAGACTCACAAATTCAAATTCAAATTCAAATTCTCTTTCGTTGACCACTTTCAGCTAGGTCCGCTCGCATTTCTGCTCACTTTCCTTTCAGCTATATTTGTGGTGACGTTTTCTGGTCACGATCTCATTTGGTTTTGGATTGTGTTCATAGACTCACAGATCAGTCCAGCTTAAAATTGCTACCCCATCATTTCCTGAGAAGAAAATCCGGCAGAATAGATGTTGACGTCATCGCCCATGGAGTGTTGAGTTGAGCTGAGCTGAACTGACATCACAGCACTCGGGGCATTCATGTACGCGCTTCGTCTCCATCTTTATCTTTAGCGCGGAAAAGAGTGTCGATTGGTCTTTAAAAAACGAGTTCAACATCATATTTCCGATGGGCCTCTGGCGTGAACAAGGTCCTTTCTATGCCCACATCGCCAACTGCGCAAACAAGCATCTCGTACCGAATAAAACATATCAAATGACAAGTAGAAAATGTTGATCACTAACTGCTCCCCTCAACTCTAATTTCGTCTTTCAAAATCCGTATTGACCTGGTTACCTCGAAAATAGAAACAATATACCAAAGATCCAGTTCACTTATATACTGACTGACACTGTTAATAATAATCCAAACATAAGTATGAGAGCTAAGAAACAGATCATAAACAGGCAAATTCATACCAACACTGGGCTACCAGTGCCAGGCTTGGACATTATCAAAGGCTAACCTACGTAAAATTAACATCTGCGAAATGGGATGTACGAGAAAAGCCGCAAACTTAACCATCCCAGACAAAGTGACACATTATACTATCTGGCAGACCAAAACCATGCAGCAAATTTGTTAAGAAACAGAAAATCAAATGGTTTGGTTATCTCGTTAGATTGCAGTCAGAATATCTGCTAGCTAACACAGGTGCTGCACATGAAGAGATCAAATGTGAAATCAAGAGGTCGTCCAAGTAGAAAATGGATTGATGGCATTAAAGACCTTCTATATTGTCACGGAATGACAGTAGACATTGGTACTCATAAAGTAATGGATCGCACACTGTTTCTCCCCACTTGGCCTAACAACAAAAGTGGAAATTCGGGATGATGAAGACTTTGCGTTCTGAGAGTTTGCAATTTACGTGATTCAGATATCTCCAGATGGCTATCGTGAGCGCTACACGTTCGAATAACATAAAAATACAGCAAATAAAATGATTCTTCCTTAATGATGCAGTGTGATGTCATGTAAAGATAATGTCATGTTATGTCGTGTAAACATAATTCAGTGTGATGTCATGTAAAGATAATGTCATGTTATGTCATGTAAACATAATTCAGTGTGATGTCATGTAAAGATAATGTCGTGTGCTGTCATGTAAAGATAATGTCGTGTGCTGTCATGTAAAGATAACGTCGTGTGATGTCATGTAAAGATAATGTCGTGTGATGTCATGTAAAGATAATGTCATGTGATGTCATGTAAAGATAATGTCGTGTGATGTCATGTAAAGATAATGTCGTGTGATGTCATGTAAAGATAATGTCGTGTGATGTCATGTAAAGATAATGCCGTGTGATGTCATGTAAAGATAATGTCGTGTGATGTCATGTAAAGATAATGTCGTGTGATGTCATGTAAAGATAACGTCGTGTGATGTCATGTAAAGATAATGTCGTGTGATGTCATGTAAAGATAATGTCGTGTGATTTCATGTAAAGATAATGTCGTGTGATGTCATGTAAAGATAATGTCGTGTGATGTCATGTAAAGATAATGTCGTGTGATGTCATGTAAAGATAATGTCGTGTGATGTCATGTAAGGATAATGCCGTGTTAAGTCATGTATAAAAAATGCAGTGTGATGCCATGTAAGGCATTTACAAAAAGAGGTGACGGAGGCAGGGCCTTAAGTAGACAAAGACAACGTTGGAAAAGATCACATCAAAGAAAACTGTACAACAGTATCAACTGTTTCAGATCGGGGCGGTCAAGTGAGGAAGAAGCAGAACCTTGGATCGCAATCTAAACCCGGAAGAATTAGTAACAACTTTTCTAGTAAGACAATGTTCTCTACATTGCTACACCCGGTCGAGAAATCGAGATTGGAGATGCCAGATGGCAGTAACAGGAATTCCCATCTATCGAACACCGTTCCGAAATTATTAATCCAAGTTAAATGAACAGCTAGTAGTGGGATTAATCGGTGATGTAGCCATTGTTGTTGATGACCAAGATTGGCCTTTGTTGTGGGACAAGCGATAACAGCCATTACATCCGACAGTGTCAGCCATGTACCAGTTGACTTGAAATTAACGGCGTGTTCCATTGTTTTCCATGCAAGATTTTTATAGCTGTAAAAATTGTTCTGCTTAGTGCTTCATTGTTTTACGTTTAGGTATGAGACAGATGTAGTTAATATGATAGCTCATCATCTGTCATGACCGTTCATCTTGGGTGAGCGGAAAATTGTGTCCGCTTCTGAGAGAGAGAGAGAGAGAGAGAGAGAGAGAGAGAGAGAGAGAGAGAGAGAGAGGGAGAGAGAGGGAGAGAGAGAGGCAGACAGACAGACAGACAGAGAGAGAGAGAGAGAGAGAGAGAGAGAGAGAGAGAGCAGACTGTCATAAAGGTAAAACATCAGTGCAGACAGAATGAAAGATCCACTAATGTACAGATGTCACACGTAAACTCATCATCATCCTCATCCTAGCATTCTATTCTGCACAAGGCTGACAGTCTGGGCTACCGTTCAGTTATATTTTCCGTAATCCCTTTGAGATCACTGATAGTGTTCCTTCCAAGTCGGAGTGCATCTGCCTGAGAACTAAAGAACCAAGAGTCTGCATAAAAATAAGCTACATCTGTAAAACGGATGTTCGTTAAAAACTGAAGTTCTGAAACAAGACCTAATTCCAGAAATGGACGAACAACCACACATTTACCCTAGAGATTACAGCAATTGAACGATAAGAAGAAGAAGAAGAAGAGGAAGAAGAAGAAGAAGAAGAAGAAGAAGAAGAAGAAGAAGAAAAGAAGAAGAAGAAGAAGAAGAAGAAGAAGAAGAAGAAGAAGAAGAAGAAGAAGAAGAAGAAGAAGAAGAAGAAGAAGAAGAAGAAGAAGTAAAAAGAAGACATCAAAGAGGGAATTCAATCCAGAATCTTTAACCTATCAGCGTTCGTCTTAGAATTTCTCTCAGTCGTCCTTTCTCTTCTCACTCCATGTCCCACCACCTCAGTGCATAAACTCCCAGGACAGAAAACAATCAAGCAGTCAGACATACAATCAGACAAACACAGAACAAAGACAAGCGGCATTCAGGTTACGGCTTTTAGATTTGAGGAGAGTATTCACAGCCGATCCACCGAGGTTTGCGTCACCATGCAGCCCGCCACCAAGGTTTGCGTCACCATGCAGCACGCCACCGAGGTTTGCGTCACCATGCAGCACGCCACCGAGGTTTGCGTCACCATGCAGCCCGCCACAGAAAGCCTTGACAATAACGATATCGTTTGTTTCCTCATTTGTCAAAGGCTGACTGCTTTATGATGAGTCCATATCAGATTCCGCTTTTCATTCTGACTTAGCAGGGAAACAAAACAAAATTTGAAAACGTCACCGCAGTTTTATTTGTCTTGTTTTAGATGGAGAAAAGAAGAATAGCTAAACTTGAATCACAGATTCTGAAAAAAAAAATTTATTCTGTGAATCTGAAATATATTGCCACTGTGAAATAATTTCTTCGATAGATTCACATTCTAAGTATTTCTTTAGTTATAATAAAAGTGAAGAGAAAATTGCATTTCAAAATGTGTATTGGTGACGTTTTATTTCCCAATTCTTGAATTGATTAATAGACTCAGTAAACATAAGGGGTCATCAGTGTTAACTAATGAATGTTATGGGTTCGGTTCCCAGGTCGACCCAGCCTTGAGTAGATACCAGGTACAGTCCTGCGATGTAAAAACAGCCGGCTTGATGCTGACCATACCACCCACCAAGTGCCGTTTGGTCTATAAAATATAGGTCTAGCCCTATATACCCAATACGCCTCAAAGGCGTGGAAAGAGGTCCTTTACTTTTATTATTATTATTGTAAGGATGATAGTACCCGAGTGAATCAGCGGCGCTCAAACACATTACGCGATTTTGGTTGAGGCCGTCACTAAAGCAGCGAATATTTATCCTTGGTGGGTAAAATAACTCACGTTCGCGGACTCTCTGTGGCCGTTGTTCTTAGAAGCTTATGTTTATCTTTCCCCCTCTTGCTTAAACCATCACGGACAGCACAACACAATTCTACGCATAATGTAACGATAGCTTTGATGTTTATTTTCATGATCTCGTTTCTTTCTTCGCGTTCGCCGGCTGTAACTCCAGTGAAACGTTCTGGTTGTTCATCCACTTCTGGACTTTAGTCTTTCTTCCAGAAACTGAGTTTTGCGTGCACATCGATTTTAAAGATTTGTCTCATTTGTATGGAAACCGTTAGTTGCTCGCCTCTATGGCAGATGCACTCCGACATGGAAGAACATCTTTTAGGAAATAAATATAGTCTTTTTTCATTTATTTATTTTTAACTCACAGGCCGGCAGTCGTTGGGAGCCCTAA